ACAGGGTGATAAGTGTGTATATGTATAGAAGTATGCTGTAATACTAACATACTATGAACCTGACAGGGTGATAAGTGTGTATATGTATAGAAGTATGCTGTAATACTAACCTACTCTGAACCTGACAACAAGGTGATAAGTGTGTATATGTATAGAAGTATGCTGTAATACTAACATACTATGAACCTGACAGGGTGATAAGTGTGTATATGTATAGAAGTGTGCTGTAATACTAACATACTCTGAACCTGACAGGGTGATAAGTGTGTATATGTATAGAAGTATGCTGTAATACTTGACAGGGTGACTGGTACAAAACGAAGGAGATTCTGCTGAAGGGCCATGAATGGATACTCAAGGAAGTAACAAAGTCTGGACTCCGAGGTCGTGGAGGGGCTGGTTTTCCCACCGGGATGAAATGGGGCTTCATGAACAAACCATCTGATGGCAGGTCAGTCTGTTACTCATGTTATAAGATGGCAGTCTTTCACTCATCCTGTATTTGTATATGCCTTTGTTTATTTATGTAAGATGTTTTAATATAGTAATATGCTTCATTTTGTGAGATCATCTTGATGAAGACCTGTTAAGTATTTTGAAGTATCATCTCCATGAGGATGAATCCTGTTGTAGTTTTCTTTTTACCTACAAATAAGAACTGTGTAATAAACAATAGGTTGTGTGTTTGTGGCTTTACACAAGTGAAGTGTGTGATAGTTATCAAGGACTAGTGTGATAAGTTAGTGATTTGTTAATGAATACAAGTGATAGGATTTGTTGTTTAATCAAATGATTTACTTAATGTTCCTATAGGTGTTTTAATTGTATATTAGTAAGTAAAATGACTTGTAATGAGGATTTTTCTAAGAGTTACAAATTACACAACAGTAATAAAACATATTATGCGTGTGTAGTAAAAATTTGCAATTAGTTGAAGATAATGTGCTAACTAATTAAAATGTCATTCACCATTGGGATTTTTCTCAGACCCAAATACCTCGTAGTGAATGCAGATGAAGGAGAACCAGGGACGTGTAAGGATCGAGAAATCATGAGGCACGATCCACATAAACTCATCGAAGGGTGTTTAATTGCTGGTCATTCCATGCATGCTCGTGCCGGTGAGAAGATAAAGTATCAAACCCCATTTTTCAAAATAATGCTGTAATCTCCTTTAAATTACCATGCACTGATCTGAAATATTACCTTAATTTCATTTATACTTAAGTACAGTTTTAATAAATAGTACTGTAATCTCCTTTATACTAAGGTACAATATTCTGAAATAACACCGTAATCTCCTTTATACTAAGGTACAATGTTCTGAAATAGTACTGTAATCTCCTTTACACCAAGGTAGTACTATTTCAGAACATTGAAAGGAGATTACACAGAACATTGTACCTTAGTATAAAATAGTACCGTAATCT